TGAGCTTGAAACTTTTCTTACTATGCCCCTGCCGGGTGTTTGCTGGGTCAACGGTAAAAAACCTGTTTGCCAAGCTTTGTTCATACTGGGCATAAGTAAGAATTAGGTCCCTTCGGAGGCAAAGATATTCCAGGAAAAAGGTCAAGCACTGCAACACGCGTTTCATAGTTCACGGATTTAAGGTGGGGTTGCCCTATACTTACACACGGTCCTACCAATCCGGATTGTCCTCTCCGACAAACCCCCCGCACCCTTCTGCGATGCACTGTGTGTCCAAATCCCGCTGCGCGGGTCGGACTCTCTCCTTCTTGGTGTGGTCTACCGTAGCCCCCCGCGTCCTCCTGAAGATGAACAATTCCTCATACAAGCCCTTGAATAACTCTCCTCCAACTACCACTTCACTCATCCCCTGCTGATAGGTGACTTCAACGCTCCAAAGGCCTCCTGGATGGAGCTCCAGCGCATCGAATCAAGTGGACTTTTTGCCGCGGCGCTGATACATTCGTTCAGCAGAGCCATTGGACTCAACTTCTTGCTGTATCCACCAGATACCGCGCAGGCCATCTACCATCCATCCTGGATTCGGTCATCACCAACGAAAGACACATCGTTGATCAGGTAACAATTAACGCTCCAGTGGGATATAGCAACCACTGTGTGCTGAACTTTGATTTTATCTGCTATTGGGCCAGAAAACCCGAACCTCAAAGGTGGTTTNCTCAAAGGTGGTTTCGAGACTTCTACCGTGCGCACTACTCAGGAATGCGCATCTATCTTGAACAAGTCACGCTGAGACCAGCTCCAGTGGAAGAACTATATAGGACCATTGTCCAGAAAGTTCACGAAGCTGACGCGACGTTCGTCCCAAAAAAACTAGCACGCACTCGGATGAAGCGCAGGCTGTCAAAAAGGATTCGGCGACTTCTGGAAAAAAGGTCCAAAATCTTTTTCAAGAAGTTGACTACAGGGGATACAGAAGATGAGGTGGCATTTCGTAGTACGCGGAACCGCTGTAAATCAGAAATCCGGGTAAGGGCCTCGCTCGAAAAAACAAAAACGTCTTGTTCAAATACGCGATATATCGTCGCAGAAACAAGCCATCCGCGTTCTCCTTGAGGGACAGAAACAGAGAACAGACGATTGACCCAACAGTGGTACCTGAGGTTTACAGAGAACACTATGCCTGTCTATACTCAGCCCCAGCGTCTTCGTCACATCCACTCTTGTCAAGGCGGAAATACGAACAGCCCCTAACCGACTTGGACTTAACAGTGGAGGACATTCGTCAAATCTTGCACAAGATCAACCCATTCTACGCGTTGGGGTGCGACGAGGTCCATCCAGGGATCCCGAAACGTCCTCCACACCGGCAAATAATCTACACCTGCTGTTTCGTCAATCGCATGACGAAGGCCACTTTCCCTCTGCTTGGAAGGGATCGATTTTCAGGCGAATCTAAAAAGCTGGTAACAGACAATCGCCTGGCAGCTGTAGGCCTATAAGCCTCACTCACTAACCGTGCAAGGTGGTGGAACGCATTCTGAAGCGAGCTATCCTAGATTACGTTACTTCCAGCAACCTGATATTTCCAACGCAACACGGATTTCTCCCAAACAGCTCTTGAGTGACAAACACAGCTTAATCCAAGCCATGGAGGCCATATTTTTCGACTGCTCAAAAGCATTTGATAGGGTTCCACACGTCCCGCTGCTCCACAAACTCCAGTCTAACGGGATTCAAGGGAAAGTCCTTAGCTGGATCAAATCGTCCCTATAAAACAGATCATTCCGGGTGAGAATAGGCTGGACCTACTCTTCTCCAGCAGCGTTATCCACTGGAGTTTCTCAAGGCTCCGTCCTACAACCACTGCTGTTACTGATCTACGTCAACGACCTCCCAGTGTTCATGCAAGTCCATCTCTACTTTTTGCGGACGACTTGAAATCCTGGATTTTTAAGGCCAGTGCCCTCTAAATGGATGTAGACGCTGCCAAGCAGTGGTGGTTGAACTAGCGCCTTCCTCTGAATGACGAAAAGTGCGTCCATATGTCATTTGGGGGAGACTCAAATAAATGTATTTGTTATGCATGGTGAGAAAGGACCGGAAAACATCATGAGGATAGATGCCAAAAAGGTCTGGGCATCTGGGTCCCCTAAAACTTGTCCTCCTCAC